CGAGACCATTGTTGGTCGGCTGCTCTCCTCCGTTTCGTTTTCTCTCGCGCCCTTATTATTTGCCAGAGGAATTGACAAAAGAGGCGCAACTTGCTGAATTAAAAAAAGAGAGAATTTGCATATATGGTGTAATTGGTGCACATGCAGCATTCATCTCCATAATAATAACCAACTGCATTCAATGTGCAAGAGGTAGAGCAGATGGTAATGTTGAGAATTAATAAAAATTCTCCTCCTACACGCCGTTCCGGTTGAAAATTTCTCATTACAGCGAGTAAAATATTAAAGATTTTATTAAAAATAAAACTTTTCTCTTAAATTAAAAAAAAAAAAACACTAATATTATATATTGATTAAAATTATATCTGCATTTAAAATTCTACACATGAAATTTTAGTTATTGTCCATTTTTTAATAAATTTAAGTTAAATTTTATTATTATTTTTTTTTTAATTTGCAAATTAATTTAATAACATAATTTTTGTAATTTATTGTTTCTTCAACCCGCATAAAACAATTTATAACGTTAGGTGATATGATCAGTCTCTTTTTTCTCAAATCTCAAATATAAGCCAAGGAAGAATTGATATTGATCTTTCATTTTTCATTCTAGTATATTAATTTGAAGAAGATGCTGATTCAGTCCACAACTCCATAAAAACGAGGCTCATTGAGGCGGAAAGTGTGTCTTTTTGATTCAGAAAATTTTACTTTTGCTCCTTATTATTTGTGTCAAAGAATTCAGTGCTTCCCTCTCATTAATTATTAAAACTTATTAAAAAATTGACTTACTTGGTAATTATCCACCAAATTACAAGAACAAATTTTTTTTTCAAAATAAAGCCTTCGATCAGAATCAGCATCGTTTGCTGCTTTTTTTTGCCACTTTTTGAATCTCTTCTAATCCGATAACTCCGTGTGCATCGCAATTGCAAACACTGTAATGCTCGCGCGTAATTCGGTTGACACAATTTCCAGTTTTTTCTCTTGCCAGAGTCGCAGAGTGACGAGATAATTCGCGAGCGCGCGCGGCCGGCAGGCGGTAATCAGGTTTCGAAAGCTCTGCGCCGATGCAATTACAGGCCATTCAGATTGTAATTGCGTGAATGATACGTACCGTGCTCGCTTCAGTTTGAAATTCGCCAATCAATCCAGCGAGCAATATTGAATTTGATGCCACCCGCGATGCTCCACCAGCGGCCAGACGCTGACCGGCCCCGCGTGGTCAATGCACCTTTTTGAACTCGATTCCGATCGCCAAAGTTGCATTATTTACAGTCGACTAATTCATTCAACCGAAGAGCGCCAAAATAATTTGAAATAAACCTGTTATTAATTACATATAATGTTCGATCCAAATAAATTAAATGTATCAATGTGGACAAATAAACAAATAAAATTTTTGGAACTTTAGAACTCCCTTTTCTCATAAAAATCATAAAATGGTATGTACATAAAAACCTTCGTCTCAAAAGTAAACTTTGTTTAATATGAATTTTTTTTAAAACATTTGATTAATTATACATTGATATTAATAATTATAAATATTTTGGCAATCCTAGTTATTTGGCAATTAATTGGTTTTACTTGTAATAATTAATTACCATAACTACCTATTTTTTCAATTAAACGATGAAAAATAATAAAAGAAAACTTTCCACCTAATATTATTATGAATATTATGATTATTCTAGACATTACATTAAATTGTATTGTTATTTCACCATATTTCTTGATTTTTAAGGACTCAACCTTGATCAAATAGATGGATTGGAGGCTGAGACTAACGTCAGCGAGGTCATGAATTGTAAGTCTTCAGCCATGTTGCCTTTATTTTTAAATTTAAAACTAATATTTCTTTAAATATTCAAAAACAAAAATAGCTTATCAAGGTTTTTATAAAACTTTCAGGTCGGATTTGAAAATTAAAACACGATAAAATTTAGTTTAATTTGATAGATTTATTTCCACTGCCTAATAACATAATCCTACAATGTGTGCCGTTTTTCAAACATGTACAATCGAGAATATGACAACAATTATCAATAAATAATACCCAGGATTTTGAATACTTATATTATGTATAATTAAACCTATGCTTAAATCATTCATCCAACACGTATTGCACATAAAAATCATACATGTTTCAACAACGACGTCAAATTTACAATTTTGAGCCAGGTTTCTTTTCAGCGCGCGTTTTGAAGAAGGAATTTCTTTCAAAAAAATAATCTAAGGTAACAAAAATAGAATTCACAATGTGTCGGCGGAGACGGGGGTGCGGCGGTAAAAAAAGTAGTCGATCGACGCGTCATTTCATTATATTTGTTGTGAATGGTGGTGGTGCATCAACCGCAAGTGTACAGCAAACGACGACCACTTGTAGACAACTTGATGGAGGCACTCACTCACCCACTCTCGTCAGCAGCAGCACTTGCAACACTTGAGACTTGGAAGCCCTAGGGCACCGACTCGGTCCGCCCGCACGCCCGTCGGCCGAGGGGAACGCGGGCAATCAAATGACTGCTCACGACCGCCGGCTTAAAAGAAACACCCTTCTTTTGCAAAGAGTTTTACACAGGAATTTTCAAAGTAACAATATTTGCAAGTTGATACAAATGCAAAATTTTACAACTTAAAAAAAGTCGGTCTTAATTGACTAACTGTAGGGCTAATTTCACAAACTTTAGAATTTTGCATTGAAACATAAACTTTTGACACAGTTCTTTACTCTTAAAATTTTGCTTTAACAACTACCAATCTTTTATTCCTGAACGTGAAAAAATGACAAATTTAATTCGCGACCAAAAATTCACAGCTCAGCTCTTACGTTAAGCTTCAAACTAATAGTAGTTCATAACCTTTTCTCAACAATAGCGAATTCAATCTCAATGAGAAGTTTACATTGCTTGCCAAATTATTAAATCAAAATCATAAAGATTAAAACAGCCCATGAACATTATTAAAAAGCTTTGGGCCTGAAAACGTGACATTCAATATCATGGAGTGAATTTTTTATTTCATTGCGATGTCGATGTTGGTCATGAAATTTATCATTCTTTCATATTCAGGTATAAAAAATTTAAATAAGGGTTTTGCCCAAATTTAAAGTCATTTGATCATCTTTGTCATAAAAAATTAAACGTATATTTTATCCTTCACTCAAAAAAATATTTATAAATTTATAATGCAATCGAATAGAATCATATTTTGTCAAATAAAAATTGAGAGTAATACAGAGATCAATACAATAATTAAACAGCTATTATATAACTAAAAATGGGATATGTGTGCAGCTTTTTTTTTAAATATAAGCCCCATTTTATCAAAAGTGGTGAACTTTTTCCGCTCCATATTTATTCCATATAATCAAGAATCATTTCGACCGTGAGTAAAAAAAACGTTAATTTTGATACATTTGGTGCTCAGCACCGGTCGGTTTCCCCGATTTCAATGCCAGCGGTGGAGATTAAAAAGAATTTCGTATTAATTGGCGAAAGCTTTTTCACGCACAGAACCGGATTTTTATTTCGCAAATGGGATGTGATACAAACCTCTGGCGCGCGCTTTTGAAAAATCGCCGCTGCGAATTTCGAGCACAATAAATTTGCGGCAAACGGCCGTAATCTCTTTCGCCCCTCGCTCCGGGTGGAAAACGCAAATTTACGCCAACATCCAACATCAGGTGATGATTTGAAAACACAATTACCGCGAGCTCATTTTAATTCGCTACTCATCGCGACGAGCATTCGAAATAATAATGCCATGCTAACGGTGCGAGAGTGGATCAAAAATTAATGCGCAAGGGATGGCGTCGGAAGCGATCGGGCGAATTCATCAATAAACATACAACGGGCTTTGTTTTATTCCGATAGTTGTTGTGTGTGTTCGGATGCGTGATCAAACTAATGGATTTGCCACCGGCTTCTCTGAAACGATCGCCGACGCGAATTAATAATTTAAATCAAGCGACCAGCACCGAGAGATAACATAGGGATGGAAGCGGTGTGAAATAAAATTTTCAGCCCATTTTCAAACACCAGCGGCGCTGGATTTGCTAAATGCAAATTTTTAGCAATGAGCGCCAAAATAAATGTTTGCGAACGACTGTTCTGCTTACAAATTTCATTTCTGTTTGAAAAACCGTTGCTGATTTATAATCTAAAAATGTGTGATAATCAACTAATAAAACTATGATCCTAAATCAGGACAGGATTAAAAAGATTTTTATTAAAATTTAACTTAAACATTTAAATTTTTTCATTTATTAATAGGAAAAAAGGGGACTAATAAATTCCGGAATGATTTTCATAAATATTAAAAAATCGTTAAAATTTCTCAATTACCGAGCAAATTAAATAATAAAAATTATTATAAAAGCCAGTCTTAAAATAAAAAAAATTGATAGAAAAACTAGTTTACTCTTCCTATGGATCATGATTCGTGGTTTGAGCGGTTGGACAAAACCATTAAATTAGCTCCAAATAATAAACCTATAGTCCACGCCTCACCTATAATTCAACACAAACACCGATTATAATTTCAGAACAACTATTTTACACGCAAAACATTTGCCCATTAATAAAACTGCCATTCAGTGCAGAGTTAATCCCCACGAGGAAATGCAAAACAATCAGCGGATCAGTGGGAATTAGCGCACTGAACAATGAATCGGATCTCGCCGATATAAACAATAATTGCACCGAGAGGTAAAAAATCAAAAAGCTTTTTTTTTTTTTTAATATTTGCATACAGATACCGCAGCTAGATGCTCGCGTATTTAATCAAGGGGGCTGGTCGCTCTTTCGCTCGCGTCCCACCCTCCAGAGCCAACCCTTCCACCCACTGGATGATAATCATGCACCGTCCGCCTTTTTCCATATCTGTTTGTTTCTCTCGGTGAAAAACAAACAAGCATTCATCAATAGCGCGGCGATGAGTTTTCGCTTCAATCGCAATAATTCTCTCCGAGCTTAATATTTACATTAACGGCGGATGGATTTTGAAAAAAAAAAATGAAAAGATGAGAATTGTACGTGTAGGGGAAAATCGCGCTTTTTTCCAGCTTCGCCGAATTATTGTGATGATTATTTACGACGACGTGCACACTCGCATCTCTCCCACACAAAATATACATAATACGAGTGCTATGCATTGTTGTAACACTTGAATGACGACGGCTATATTATTTATTACTTTTAATCCGTATACACGCAGAATGCAAATAATGACGGTGAAAGAGAATGGATATTTATTTATTATTTTTTTTCATGTGCCGAGAGAGAAGAGGACAAAAGCATTCGCGCACAATGATCAACAGCATTAATAAATGTGTTTCCCGGGGAAAGTTTGCAAACTGCTGATGTTATTTCAGGCTTTTTGTTTTTTCCCAGCAACTCCTATCGTGATGAAATTTTATATCTCGTTCTCTCTGTCTGCATATTTATATACACCATTGGTTGTTTTTTTGCGTTCACAAACAGCACACGTACACAAGAGGTATACATTTACAGAATTATTGATACACACACGGTGTCTGCAGCGCTGGATGGAAGTTTTGTTGATGTGATGACGACGAGCGAACGAATGAATAAATAACAAACGCCAAACTAACTTGCAAGGGCGAAAAATTCCGGAATTATTATGCCTTGCCAGAGGGAAATTTTACATTTGGGCGTCGATTGCCAATTTCCATGAAGTGCTACTTCAGGGGGCGAACGAAAAATAATGATGCAGCATTCCGCGAAAATGAGTTGGGGGAAAATAACGAAAACAAACAAACGCCAGCAACTCGCTCCTTAATTATGTTACACACCTATATGTGATGTACTGTACACTGAGAAATTGAAACGTGCGCTGCGTGCAATTAGCTTAATTAGTTTCAGCAGCTGCTCCACCCGAGGGCGTCAGAAAATGCTTTTCCGAAGTGGTTTCCGGACCTGCAACAGAAAAATAATTGTCAGGTTCAAAATTATTTTGGACAAAAGGTTAAATTTTTCCCCAAAACTTCATCCCGAGTAAAATTTTGTCACTCTAAAAAAAATGGGAAAAATAGGGCTCCATCCAGAAGGTGACCTGAGGCTTTCAGAACTTTAAAAACCTATAGTGTCAATGCTTAAATATTGAGAGTGATGAAGATGAATAAATGTGAAAAAAAAATAAAAAAAAATTATTGTATAATAAATACTAATTTAACCAATCTATACATATAAAATCATATAAAATAAAAAATTTTAGAAATTAATTGAGCAACCAAGAGAATTAACAGCTTCATACAGCGACTTGTTTATATTTTTCACAATTTTATTTGTATTTACCTCAGTCAAAACTCTTAATATTTAGCATGGACACGGAATCAAGAAATGATAGATTTTATTTTAATATTTATCAGTAAACTGAAGGTCGCCTTATGGGGTGAGTTGTTCCTTATTATTTACTTTTTCCAGCAGGTCAAGCTCAACCTCAATTTTTAGATGAAATTTGTTTGAAATTATAATTAAATTAATGAAATTTATAAAATATCAAGAAAGAGGAAGCCATTTTTCACCGTTCAAAATCAGGAGTGTAAGCGGAACTCCTAAACTTTCGCATAAGCAGCATCACGCATTTTCGCAGATTGCTGTCTTTTTGCGGAAAAAAGACGGGTTGGCGGACAAAAATAACAACCATGTTCTGGGCAGAATGCGTGCTTGAAAACACATGCACATTGTGCGAGTCGAGTGAGTGCACGCGGTGGTTTTGCGAGAACGCGTGGCGCGCGGGCCACTCGTGAGGGCACCACTGCGTGAACATGATCATCATTATCCCGCGGCAGGAGCATTTCTACACCTACCCACTGCTCTCTTCTTTTCTCTGATTGTCAAGTGTCAAGTGGCCAAGTCTTGTTAAGGACGAGATATACGCGTATTCTAAAGGTTTGAAAGGAGGCGATACTCGAGGAAGCGCGCGCGCAATAATAGAATATCCGCGAGTTGAGACGCACACTCACGGATTTGCGCCAAAAGCACAGTATGGGATTCGCAATTATACTCGGCGGAATGCGCCTCTTAATATAACACTCGAGTCTTTGTCAGCGTTCAAGTTGCCCTTTTTTAGGCCAAATAAAATTTAATGAATGTGTATAAACGCAAATGAGGATGGAAAGAAAATTTTTACTCGTTATCAAATAATAATCCAAGAAAAAATAAATACAAATTTGCATTAGCAAAAAAGCAAGTAAAATATTTTAATTACTATAAAATCTTATTTATTGTGATATAATTATTTTTTTCGTCAAAGAGTGATATAATCTGATATGCAAATCCAGAGTTAAAGTTAAATCTGTTCTAATTTTACTAACCATAAAAATATTTAACTTTCTTTTGCGATTTACATTTTTTATTGCAGACAGATTAATAATTTAATGTATTTTTGCGCCTTCTAATGTTTGCAATTTCATATAGTGCAAAAATTAATAAGAAAATATTTAGGAAATAAGAATAAAATTTTTAAACACTACATGTTTGAACGTAAAACCTTATTTTAACCCATAATTTGACTTGCCACCCTCAAGTTACATCAGAAATCAAAAGTGCCCCCCAGCAGGACGCAGAGGCCAGCAGCAACTCGCCCCCCGTGGCGCTCTCTAACTTTGTCGGTTTTCGGTCGAGGCACAGAGGAAAAAACAAATTAAAAAAGCCAACCCATCGCCGCACGCTTTTTTCCTCTCGCCAGGCTTTTTTCGCCAGCAGCATCTGCATATATATTCCCTCTTTGCAAAAACATCAATCAGATTACCGGCGCTGTGACCAGCGGCAGCAGAGGCGGTTGGTCGCGGCGACCGACACAGCAGTCGCTCTCTCTGACTGGATACGTCCGTATTATTATGTGCTGAATTTTTGGCCTTTGGTTCGGCGGAGAAGAGCTGCCGGCCGGCACTTTGAGGCTTACATTTTGCGAGTAAGCCGCTTTTGTTTCGCGTGTGCTGCTTTTATATTTTCGCTCTCTTTTTTAATACCCTCTGATATCGTGTCCGCCAGCACGTCGATGTTTGAATTAAAAAAAGAGAGAGAGTGGCGACGTCGCTCTCGCTCTTTCTCTTTTCGTCGCAATATAAAAATCATCGTTTCATAATTACCTCACGGACTGGCCGCCTGCTCTGGCTCGGGCGTTACGGCCAGCATTTTTGGCGCCGCGTCTCCCGTAGGAGGGGTGCTGGGAGGGGTGCTTCTCTTCACGCCAGGTTTGGGCTCGTGCTTCTTGACGTAGTCGACGACCAGCTCGAGGCCAATGAGGGCGGGCAGGTCCTTGCACTCGCCCTTCTTCTCCCCTTCCTCCTCCTCCGGAGTCTCCGTCTTGGAACTCTTGCTGTCCACTTCCGATTCTCTCTCCTCATCTCCCCTTTCCTGAGCTGCTTCCGGCATCTCCTCGCCGTCCTCGATCTTGACGCTTTTGTAGATCCGCTTGAGATTCTGCAGGACGTAGTTGGCGTTGGGCGAGATGTCGTCCCTGCGTTTATGAGCCCTGCTGGTCATCATCAGGGGCTTTGCTTCCGGCACGCTGAAAGCAGACGAGTGTTTTGAGTTCTTCATTCCGAGTAACAGGTTGAGGCCTGGCTTGTTGCTGCTCGAGCTGAGGTTGAGGGCACCCGACTTGACTTCGGTGTCCTTTTCCAGCTCGGTGACGATGGGGGTGCCGTTCCGGCGCTCCCGGTCAATCGTGCAGTCGAGGCCTGCTTGCGGGGGTGACATCGAGGATGGGACCGTGCCGAAAGGCGGAAGCTTCCTGTCCCATATATGTCCTGATACTCGGAGGTCTATGAAAAAATGCAGCGGGTCAATTCCATAGGGGGTTTGGTGGTGGGGGCTCGGGCCACCAAGGCCGGGGTACATTGATGGGTACCACAGCGGCGGTGGAAACGGAGGTAGATGAGAGGGGATGAGGTCGCTGGGCATGGAGGAGGAGGAAGATGAATCTGAGCTAGTCGGGACCAAACGGTTGAAGTCTGGCAGAGGTAGCATCCCGCAGTGAGGTAGGTTCGGCAACATCAACGGTGGTGGAGGCGGAGGTAGGAGAGGGGGAGACGTCGTTGAAGACGGACTTGTTCTGCTTTGATCCAAAGGTGGTGAGGAGAAAGGCGGGGTCAACGGACCCTCGTGCCTGGCCATTTTCTCCTCTGGAGCGTGTTTGGTGGTCAGTTCCAAAGGTTTATCCAAGATCGGCGGTGGCTTCCGGTCGATTGCAAACCTAGGAGGGTCACTGACCTCACGCCAGGTGCGTTTGCGTCGCCGGTGGGGTGGCCGACCTGGCAGGTCCTTCTGCATTTCATTTGAAGGAAACTCGATTTGGCTGTCTCGAAGATGAGGTGGGTGCGGCGGCATCTCGTGGGATTTCGCATTGTTGTTGTTGTTATTGTTGTTGCTGCTCTGGACGAAGCTCTTGAGCATGTCACTGAAGAAAAAACTCTGCGGGACAAGAGGAATGTTGTACAAGTATGGCGGGGTCGCTGCCAAAAGCCGCGAGAGGAAGTCACCGTTCCTGAAGTCGGGGGATATTCGAGGGCCGTTTAAGTTGAGACCTCCCGGTGGTTGTTGGGGTGGAATCGGCCCTCGTTTGCTGGATTCTGAGCTGCCCGGAAAGGGCGAGCCGATGTTTGGTCCAGAGCTCATCTGAAACATATAACAATCAAATTCAACTGTGGAAAATATTTATTTAAAATTTGAAGTAAATTAATATCTATCAAAAGATCTAAATTTAAAATTATGGAACTTTTAAAATGAAATTATAATTAAATCAAAATTAAATTTTAACTAAATAAAAAAAACAAATTAATTAAATTAAAATTTTAAAAGGAGACGAAATTTTTAACAGAGTAAAAAATTATTTTAAATTAGAATTGGGAATATTTTTCTAAACCTAGTTTATTGAAAGTGACAAAGTATTTCAATTAGAAACAAATATCACTGAATCGTAATTTGTTTATTTTATTATATTGATCAAAAATGATTTATTTGTATTTAGTTTTTATTTTCCTTCCTTTAAAGTATTCATTGAAATATTTATAATAATTAAATGAAATAAATAAATCTCTGATCAATACGATTTTATTTTTAAGTCAAAGACATTTGTTACTCTATACATTTTTTAAAATCTTTGATCAATTAAAAGTTAAAAAACCTTCATTCGGAATTGTATCTTTGAGTAATATGCTAACTCCATAAAAAAATTTGTCAGGTTTTTTTCTATCTATTTTATATGGATTTTTTTATAAGGGCAGCAAGTTCAATCTCATTTTGTAAACTTTTCTCAAAATTTCATTTGAAAGCAACCCCTGAGGTCATCTTTAGGGTGGTGAGAAATATCTCTCGGCGATCTATTCATATACGAGAGCGGTCACTCTGTAATTCCCTAATCTATTCCAACAACACCCTTCTCGTTAGCAGGACACAAAGTAAAATGACACTGAGTGACCCACTATAATCTGGCCGCTTGTCCGGCGGCGTTCGCACGTCAAGCAATCCGAGAGAGCAACGAACGGCATCGTCGACTAACAAAACAAACTCGAATTAGTTAAGTGGATTACGGCGGCCCGGCCTGGCGGGATTTGCATTGTTTTAAATTTTCGGTGCCGTGTGCGATTTGATGGAAATAATCTCGGCGTTTCTTTGAAGCAGGCCCTCTTCGGCTGACGCGTAAACAATAGGTTGTCAGCAGTTTTAAGTGCACATCACCTACACAGGAGCTCGCTCTTGAGCCCGACCGCTTGCTCAATATAACTTTGTAATCATCGCACTTCTTCCGCCCGAGTTTGCTGAACGAGAGAGAGACTGAGCGCTGCAAACTTTATCATATTCAATATTAAACCCACTCTTTGCGCCGCTGTGTGTGCCGCTGCCGTGTCGAGGACGTTCTCGAGCACACGGTGTGCGGTTGTGTGACGCAATATATTTGACGAAACATTTTAATTATAAAAGCATTTGTGCGCGCCACAGTTCTTTCCCAGCTCACTCCCGCTAACAAACGCCACACGTTAAAGAACTCGCGATTCGCAACCCCTTGCTCGCTCGCGATTCCCTCTCGCGCCACCCTGCCAGCTGCCGTGTCTGTTCCTCTTCTCTTTGCACAATAAAGTGTGCTCTTGAAAATTTCTTGGCGCGTTAGCAAACTTACATCGTCGCAATCAAGACGTCGCGCTCTCCTGGGCGATGACTTGTGCTCACGACTGTGTGTATGTTTTTGGAAATGGCAAAACGCGACTTGCAAAGCAGGCAATCAGTTAATTAGATCAATATTGCAGAATTCAAAACAATAATAATTTTCATTTTTACCATATATTTAATGACAAAATAATAGGATAACTTGACTTTTAATCTTAATCTGGAAGATTTCATCAAGAATGTCAATTCAATCAATTTATTGATAGCAACAGCAATTACAAAAGTGATTATTTTTATTTATTTCATTAATATAATTTGAAAATACAATATAAAGTGAATAATTTAATTACATTATTAAATAAAAATAAATAATAATAAAATAAAACCTTTTAAATATTATTTATTAATTAAATAAAATAAAATAAAATTGTTATTTGTAAGTATAAAAAGTAACAATTACAAAGCATAGTTTATTTTTTTAATTTACAATTATTTAATATGTCAAACATGATTACAAAGTGTAAATATTAAGAAAAAATCATAAATAATATTAAAATTTATTTTCAATTTGTTAAATGCTGCAAGAAATTACCCCTTGTAATCAATTCAGCTAATTGCCATGATTGCTTAGAACATGATACGCGACAAACACCTGAAACCCCTTTCTGAAACGTTATCGATCTGAGCCTTGAGCGGTGGGTATCGAATATAAAAGAGCTCGGGCGGCAACTGATGAACTCTCTCGCGGAAGATATCTGCTGCGGGCTCAATATATGTATGTGATCTGCGAAAAAAAATGCGTCACTCTCTTTTTCGGCGGGATGATTCGGCACAATGCGTGGCAAGCAAGGTATAGGCAGCTTTGGCGTCCGCCGCTCTCTCTCTTTGATACGGAAATAATCAAAGTGCGCGTGCACAGGGCGACAATGGCGCGCGCTGTTGATACCTCAAGGCCCTTATTCCGTGGCGCTGGCGCAAGATGTGGACAAATTATGCCTGTCAAAAGATGACAAAAGATGTTACCAACACCGAGTGAGAGCGAGAACGGCGTTCGCTTCGGCATAAGATATATAATTTGCGAAGGAAAAATGGTAACAGAGGGGGGAGTAAGAGCGAAAAAGAGAGAAAGAGAGCGTCTGGCTGATGATAATGGCAGCGGCTTCAAATATTAAAGCTCTGCAGCCAGAGAGAAGAGCTGTGGTCGGAATATTGAGAGCATAATTAATGAGGAAAATGTAATAACATGATGATGAGGCGAGGCGCCTCAAGTATTTTAAGTGTTTCAATATTATGTGATTGCCGCTGCCGCCGCCGCCGCGCCTTTTGCATCCTCGGCTCAAGAGAGTGTGGGTGGTGGTGCTGGAGGAGAGACGGCAAGAGAGAGGCGCTCGAGAGTAAATTGTTGAATAAAGAAGAGACGCTGTTGTGCGTCTCCGCGGAGCACATAATGCGATACAGCGAGATGGGAATTCGTTCTCTCGGCGAGGGGGGCGATGCTTTTCCGCGGCGACGTGTGCGCCGAGATTTCCGCAAAATCGCGTGAAAGGCTCCCCGATTCTGTATATACAAACAGACCTGACTAACGACTTAATTCTCGTGCGCCGCTGTCGCCGGCTAAAAGCAACAATTTGCGTTTTAATTATCAAAAGTTCGCTTCTCATTGTGTTTGTTGTTTCCTCCTTAGCTTTTATATAATTTGAGAGAGGGTAGTGATAAAAGGACTAAATATTATAACATTAGAATTGCAAAAAGTCAAAATTTCCCCAAACGAAACAATTTTTTTTCATATCTGTGTAACAATGACATTTTCAAATTATAAAAAAAAATTAACTAAAATCTTTATTTCTAAATAATATTCTCAGTGAAATATTGAAGAGTAATAAACTTTTGAGCAGTTTTTGCAGGATTTTTTTTTAATTGGTATTGACAAATTTAAAAAAAATCCAATTTATCAAAATTTCAAAATCAAACAACTTGGATTTTTTGGTTTTTGGGCCACCTTTGGAATCCTAGAGATAATATTGATGCAGCATTATAGGAATGGTTTTCACTCTTCAATAAAGATATTAATCCGAATTGGCTCTACTCACTAAACCTGAATAATTTTTAATTTCTATTCATTTTTGCACGCCATTTTTTGTACATACTTAACAGGGGAAAAATACATAATCGAACTTCAGTTGCAAGCATTAGAATTGAAATTTGCGAAAATTATCTTTAAAAAATTAAAATAGCAAGCGTTAGAGAGCGAGGGCAGGAAAAGGGAGTAATAAAGAGAATTGCATTTTTTTTTTTTTTTTTTTTTTTTTTTTTTTTTTTTTAATTCATTATTGTCAATAAATTTCAATATTTAAAAAAAATTATTGTACATGGGTTTTCTTATCATTTGTAATATTTTCAATGATGATTGAAATGCTATGCAATTCCGGCCCGTTTCATTTCCAGCCACTTTATGAATGTACATATTTATTTACGAATAAATTTGAAGGGGTAAAAAGAACAAGTTGCCAAATTATTTAATATTCTGATTACGTTCCGGTGTATTATTTACGAAAAAATCACTAATAACGAATGAGAAAAATTAAGATCTAAACAATTTCAAATAAACCGGCTGGAAAAGCGTTAAAATTTAATTAAATCCATAAGTTCACTGATTGAATGAATTCTCTCGTCAACAACGCACACACTCCTCCCACTTCTGCCATATCATTATTATTTCCAAAAGCAACACACTCTCGGCGGAAGTTAAATGTACAAAAGGAAGGGCTGGCGCATCTCTTTTGCATTTCGCCCCGGCACTATATAATATATTTGCTACTTATTGTGTGCCGCGTGTGAGAGAGTTGCGCGGCATTTAATTTCCTGCGAATGCTGCTGGATGATTCCTCTCGCGTGGAAATTATATACCACCGGCGTGCTGCTATCAAACTCATTCTTTCCCCATATCCATCCACGGCATGTGACGGACGGGCGCTTTCATTCGCAAACGGAGCTTTTTGCGAAAAGCAGAGAGAGGTGCCGCTCTCAGAGCTCAAAGGGTTGTTTTTATTGCAGGCGCGTGTCAGCAGGGATAAACCGGTGCCAAAAACAGAGACGCCAATGCTTCTGTCAGTTTTGGCTGGTGGCTAACAAGAGTTTCACCAGCAAACGGAAATTAGTTGGAGAAAAGCTAAAAATGTATTTCATTTGCAATTTTTGCTCATGTTTCGTTGCAAACTAGTTTAATGATTTTTTGAACTCGGATAACAAAATTATCAAATGAAAATGAATTTTCTAAACTTTTTAAATTTATTTTATTTCATCTTTAGAAAGCTCCAAGAAATAAGTACAAAAAAAAAAAAAACATCTGATCTTGTTTCAAATACATGTTTTTTTTTTTAAGACTTTTTTAAATATTAATGTGGGTATATCTTAGGGAAAAGCTGCTCCCTTTTTCTGCTCTCTTCAATGCCGCCAAGATCGAGATACATATTACGCATAATGCGATCCGCGAGCGTAACAGGAGCCGTGAC